CTGGCTTCATCTTCATCAGTAAGTCAACAGAACAGCCCCGTAGGCCCCAGCATTCCCAAGGGAGCAGTGTTGCCAGCACTGACCTTGAGGAAAGAAACAGCCAAACATAAATCATCCATCTTGTTCAACTGACACCTTTGAGGTCGCAGCAAAGCAGCCTCTTCCAGAGAAACATCCTGTAAACTAGAGCTGTTATCTCTTCAAATTCCAGACAAAGTTGAATTCAGGGTGGTGAGAGATTGACCAAATCAAAGAAAAGTGCCCTTGTCCCCCTCCATCAGACTCCTGATGACTAGCCATGGCTTCCTGTCCCTCCCATCGTCATGCATTCTGTTCCATATTCTGGGATAACCACAGATGGGGGAGAACGGGAAATCCCCATGGATTCAATGTAAAAACTTTTCCCCTGTGTTCCTGACTGTGGAATGTCTGAAGCTATCCTGCAGTGGGTCCTGCGCTTGCCACCTTCCACAGTGAAATTTGAAACTTCACGTAATGCTGACCCTCTGCTCACAAAAACAATTCCATTTTCTTACACACACACACCAACACAAACAGGCAAACCTGGGACTGGTTGTTCACAAATAAAGACATAAACATGTCCAATAATAATGTTCTGTTCTGCCTCATTCATAATTAAAGAAATGCAAATCGAGACATCTTTTTTTTTTTCCTACCCCAAAAAGAAGCAAACTAATTAGTAAATACCCAAGACAGGCAAAGATGTGAGGAAACAGGCAATCTCATACTTTATTGACAAGGGTTTAAATTGGTATAACCACTTTGAAAGGCAATTTTGCAAAAACTATGAAAACAGTAGATGCACATAATATTTGACCAGTCCTGAAAAAAATCATGACATTGAACAGAAACAGCCACCTGTACACATGCTTTATATTTGAGAAAAATAAGTTCTTCTGTGTTTAAGCCTAAAATCTTACATACTTATAAAATTACTGTTGTGTATTCTGTTACTTGCAGCCAAAAATATCCCTAATTAATAAAGTTTTTTAAAAAAATTAATTAAAAAATAAAAATAAATTAATGAGGATTTTTTTAAACAAGGTTATTCTTTTTTTCAAAAAAATTATTTTTAAGAGAGAGAGAATTTTTTAATATTTATTTTTTAGTTTTCGGCAGTCACAACATCCCTGTTTGTACGCGGCACCGAGGATGGAACCCGGGCCGCACGCATGCCAGGCAAGCGCCACCGCTTGAGCCACATCCCCAGCCCATGAGGTTATTCTTATTTTGCAGTGACTTTAACATGAAGGTTTCTAGTATTCTGCAGTAAGTATGATATAAATTTGGGGGCTGAACTTCACCCTTGTACATATCATGTTACAGGAGCTTTTGTATCTGGATGCTGAATTGTATCTAATGATTTTCAGCATCTATGGTGATGTTCTTTCAATTTTTCCCTTGTGATTTATTTATGTTGTCATATTCTTTTCATGTGCTGCTGTTTCTGTTTGCTAATATTTTACAAATTATTTCAGATTTGACACAGAACTCATAAAATGAAATTATTACTTTTCTTCCTTTCCCCTTTTAATGAGTTTTTGAATGTTTTGACTTACACCTTATTACTATATTATAAGAATCTCAACCACTAAAATGTTTTAAATGTAAATGACTAAATTTTTAATTTCTACATATTATATTTCTACTTTTTCAAATTTATCTTTTTTTCATAGTACTATGTTCTATCATCTTATCTTTGCATCTTGACCATTACTATTTTTATAGACTTTTTCAAATTGCTCTATTATCTCAAGAACTTAAGGGGCTAATTCTCCTGTTCATGACGTATACGTATCTACTCCCTGGTGTGATTCATTTCCTAGTTTGGTTTATCATTTCTCAGGATAAGCTTGTCTTCAATGGGAGTTATTTCTTTTGGAAAAAAAATAAATAAATAAACAACCGAGTTTTACATTTCCCTCCGACAGGCCAGGAGGATTCTCCATTTGGAAGCAGCTTTCCTCTTCTTCCCTAACTTCCAGATTCCCTCACCACATGAGGAATATAAATTGGGACTTCAGACCTACCCGTGGTGCAGGCCCACTAGGAGTTCTGATTTTTATAGCAGACATGCTTTAATTAAGTCAGGCCCCAGATAAACCACAAACTTCCTTGCTGAACCTAGGCCAACAGAGGAAGTTTTTTTTTGTTTTTTTTTTTTTTTTTTTTTTTTTTTTTTTTTTTTCCATTCCACTGCTACTAAAAGCCAGCCTTCCCAGAGCCCCAGCTTTGGGCAAAAGGCTCAAATCTAGATCCCTATCTTTCTAATTTAAGGCTTGAATGGATCCTAATTGGATCACTGAGTGGGGACTCACCCCAGCCTTAACCATTTGGACTTATATTCATATCATGCCTTTGAGTTCCCTCACACCTAGAGATCCCCTTCCACCACACCATTTTTTTTGTTTGTTTCTTTTTCTTTTTTCTTTCATTGGTGATATTCTATTCAGCAGTACTGTGTTTGAAGCAGGGATTCCCTGACTTCTTTCCTCACTGGGTTCCTGGAAGCTTTTCCTATCTCTTAATAACCTTTTCAGGAGCAAGATTGACGTGATGCAGGAACTACACAAGAGGGAAGTCCAACCCAGCAGGAGACTCAAAGAAGACTTCCTGGAGGAGTGATAGCCTGTCGGGGATGTGAAAACTGAACACACAATTAGGCACAAATGGTATGATTGTGCATGGGGCTCACAGGTTGGAGAAAGAGGTGGGGTAAAGGTTGCAGGCAGAAGATAGAGCGCAAGTGAACATCCTCAGGGGTAAAACACGGAGCAACCGGCTTATCACATCCTGTGAAGCACAAGTTCCAAGAAGTGCAAGGAGTTTAGTGGTGGAACTTGGACTGAGATAAGGGGTTGGGGAGATAAGAAGAGACCAATTCATAAGCAGTTTATGTGGAAGGATAGTATGGTGAACCAAGTTCTGTGAGCAGACAGGAGCCCATGAAAGAGACCATCAACCACAGAGGATGAAATCATTGGGTTTAAAAGAAAAACATAATAAATCTTGCTTATATAAATATACACAGCCAGTTAGAAATAGCTAAAACAAATTTTGCAGACAAGATGGCAATCCCAGAGGGCATCCAAGCATGTAAGCACTACCTTGACATTCCAGCAAAACCCTCAACTCTTAGCCAAAGGATTACAGGGCTCAGGTCTGTGTGAACCCCCTCCATCCCCCAGGAAATGTCCCCAGCCATGTTTGGAGGAGGGTGGGCCAGTGTCCCAACCATTCAATTTGTAGACATTTTGGAAACACAAAGGTCTTTCAAAAATGTTTCCCGATACCCACCTCACTTCACTCGCCCCCAAAACTGCCACAGATAGATCCCTATTGTCAGGAAAGGGCTGCAGGAGCAGAAGCTCAAACATGAAAGTATCCTGGGCCAAGGGCCAGGGGGTCTATTTTTGGAAATTTTTCTCATTGCCTGTTTATCTTTCAGACTCCACCTAATGTATTCCAGGCGGGTGTTAAAAGTTACTTGGCTAGGCTGAGAAGGAAAGCAAGAAGGTGATCTAAGACCCAGTACCAGTAGCAATGGTGATAACCTCTGGACGGTGTTTTCATTTCCCCAATTTAACCTCACTGCCATTTGGCGCTAGTGAAGCACTCATTCAAACCCACTACTGGCGGTGGGATTTGGGCAGGTAATTAAAAGAAAGTGACAGAAGGTTATGGATTTTGTAATCTGTTAAGTACAAGCGGGGTTGCTGCTGACCTCCCTCCTGGACTCAGTTCTCTGGTCTCTAAAACAGGGTTAGAAATACTGCGTCTAAGTTCAGAGCCTTAGCCAGGCCTTGGAGAGGAAAGCGCCCCCTACAGCATTTGGTCCTCGTCCTCCTTTGTGCAAGGTTACTTCGGAGATGGACAACAGTGCATTCATCATAACGTTTGGTTATGTTAATCCAACCCAAGCTGCAAAAGAAAAAAGACCGGCGTTGTGTCTTTTTGTCCCTTTATTTTCCTTAAAGGGACAAAATAGGTGGCCCCTGGAACTCCGTCACTCGTAAAACGCGCCACTGGAACACTCGGTGGACTTGCAGTGACAACCTCTTCCAGTCTGTGGCCTAAACCGGCTTTTAAGGGCGTCCTCCCCGCCCTCCTGTCTTCGCTCCCCATTTGACTCCAGTGGCCACATCCTGTCTCGCCAGGTCACTCTCCAGTTCTGCTGTGTCGTCTGGCCTTCCTGCGGGGGTCGCCGGGCAGTCTCCGCGGCTGACCCCGGGCGGGGCCCCGCTAATCCGCGCGGTCCTCCTTAAGGAGCTTCCGCGGTGGCCCGTGGAGGCGGGTGTTTTGTTCTTATAAGGAGGGAAAAGTTTCCGTGACATCCAGGAAATGAGTAACTCCACAGCCTTGCGGAGCCCGGCCGTTGGAGCTAGGAGGCTGGAGCCGGCCGCGGTCCCGCCGCCAGCGTCCCCCTAGCTGCACCGCCGCGCGCTCCGGCAGCCGCCCGCACAGCCCGACGCCCCCCTCGGAGCTGCGCGCCAAACCCGAGTTGTCGCGGGCCTCCCGCGGGACAGCGCTCCCAAGGCCAAACGTAAGTCGGGGACCCGCAGCTCCAGGCTCTGCTGCTTCCCAGGCGGCTCGCGAGTTACAAAAAGGGAGGGATGGGGACCCCGGACTCCGCCGAGCGGCGCCCGAGTCAGGAGCGGGGGTGAGCGGGGAGCGCTCCAGACTCGCCTGCGCCCACCCCAAGTAGGGGCCGACTTTGGGGACCGCTGAAAGTGCGCGCGCACGGGCAGGCGCCGTGGTCTCTTGCGGTCACACCTCCAGTTCCCGCAGCGCTGGAGATGCGCGCGGTCCCTCGGCTCCCAACCCCACCGCTGGGCGCTTGCTGCAGCCTGCGCGGCCTGCAGCCGCTCTTCCCGGCGCGCCGAGCCTCAGAGCCCCACGCGGGACCACGTGTAGGTTCCTAGTGCGGGACCATCCGTTACTTTGGCTGAGCAAGGTGCTGCGGCGGCACGAAAAACAGCTGGGTCGCCCTGCTCCTTGGCCGTCCCTCTCTTCCAGCGAGGAAGGCGTTAGAAGTGAAGTTGGTTTCTTCTTGGTTATAGTATTTGCGCAATCAGGTTGCTTCGGGCCGGATGAAGCCCCCGCCACTTCCTCTTTCAAGACTTTTGGCGGAGTAGACCCCAGGCTGAGGGAACTTTCTCTTGGCTCTATAAATAGCCTCTGCCTCCTGTTACTGCATCCTCTACCGAGTCCCTGTCTCGGCCCGGTGGATGCACGGTGAGCGGGTTCGAAAGCCTCAGACCAGACGCCCCATCAGAAATACTCTTCTTTAAAAACAAAAATGCTGCCGAGCAAGAAAGGAAAATAATCGACCCAGGCCAGAACCTCACTGTGCCTTCGGCCCCTCTGCCTGCAGTGAGAATCTTCCCTCCCTTCCAGACTAGACAAGGACCAGGTACAGGTAGCATCTAAATCAATCCAGGGCTCGCTTTTGTTTTGTTGTTCCTCTGACCAGGGCTCTTTCCTTTTACAAACCAGTTCTGCCTCACAGAGGCTGCCAGCTAGAGTCCAGGGCTGATGCAGTGACGGGTCCAGGTTAGCAGGAAAAATGGGGTGGCAGGCAGACACTGGTTGGGTTGATGTCATTCACGTTCTAGTTAATAACGTGGCTGTGTTGGGTACTCCCTCCAGCCTGATGTGCCTAAGTGGCTCTCATTGTTTGCTAATTCCTTGTGTGTTGCTACTGCTCCAGGCCATTCTGCCCTCAGATTTTCCACTTGTGGGTAACCATGGGGTGTTTTTTTGTTTGTTTGTTTGTTTGTTTTTTAATTTACCCGCTCCCTGCTCTCCTTGGGTAGATGGAGAAGCTTATTTTCAAGTGCTGGGTAATTTTCAAGATGCTGCAATTTCAAGCTCAGGCTTCCAGGGGGCAACGATGTGGAGATGTGGACTTTTAACCTGATGTTGTCCTCCCAGAAGTCGTTACCTCTCTGGCCTTGCAGCTCCCAGAAGAGAAACTAAAAGGGTGTGTAGGTGAACTTGATAAGAAGGCAAGAAGGAGCAAGAACTTTGGGGGAGAAAATTGCCCACTGAGAAGGTATTTTCTGGAAGGAACCTGGTTTTGTATTTTTACTTTTTTGGTGAATGAAGAGAAAGATGGTTGGGGGCTCCTGTTTGATGAAGAGGGTGCACAGACTCAGGGGCAGACAGGGGTGAGCACCCTGTGCATGGGGCTGCGCAGGGGTAGAGTCAAGCCAATGTAGTGCACTAGCCCAGTTCTCAATGCCACCTCTTGGAGGGACACCACTGCCAAGTAGAACTATCCAGAGGAGGACAGGAACAATCTGCAAAGTGTGTCTTGTGAGGGAGAAGATAGAACCACTGGTGTGCACTCCAGAATGAGAAGCACAGGGGGACATGGCTGTATCCTTCAGATGTCCCAAGCATGGAAACCTGAGGAAAGAAAAATGGCTTACTATTTCTGGCCTCAGAAACTCCTTGGTTAGAAGAAACAACGACAGATCTCAGTATAGCATGAGAAGGAACTTTTCACAACTAGAGCTCTGCTGGTCATGCTCTGGCCATTGGCCACAGGGGCCTTCAAATCCAGGACTCTGGTTCTACATTTGGAGTCAAGAATGAGGCAGCGCAGCAACCTGTGGGGCTTGAATGGAGACATGTACGAGGGAGGGGCCGGTGCTCCAAAGGAGCAGGACTTGAATTATGGCCAAGACCATCCGTCCATGTTGGACCTTCCTCATTCATGGTTGTTGGGGAGGAGGGTAGAGCCACGAGGCTGAGATATCCTCGAGGACTGCTGCTGGTTTTTCCAGTCCCCTGTGTAATTTAGAATAAGTTTCTCCCCTCAGCAAGAGGGTGACATTTAGAAATAAGGACCTCGGAGCCATGGAGTTGGGACTTATCCTTGGGTTACCCTGGCGGTGTGTCCTTGGGCAGTACACTATCTGTGCAAACATTTACAGCAGCCCTGATAACCAATTATTGAGGGTGCAGGACCTTGACCTAACATTTCCAGAACGATGTTTTATCTATCTATTTATTTATTGGTTTCTCAAAAGCACTCTGCCTGTATCATTTAATCCTCACAGTTGTCCTATGAGGTCTTCTTAGCCCCACTTTACAGATAAAGAAACTGAGGGAAGCCAAGTGCTCAAGAGCCTGGAAGCTGAGGTGCAGTTGCTGAGCATTCAGAGAAGCAGGTTAAACTTAAAGCCAGTTATGGGAACTTAAAGCTCCCTTATGTGAAGGAGGAAAGAGCAGCTGCCTTTTACTCCGGACAGTGGAAGGATGGGAAACTCCTGATGATAGGAGGAGAGACACGAGCCTGGCCTCGTGGCTGACCGGGGGAGCCTAGCCCAAGCATCAGATGGCTTTCCGTCTTCATTACTGGGCGAGGTGAGGTGGCAGATCCAGTTTGGGGCCTGGTACAAGGGTGATGTGTAATTGTCACCTGGGTGTGGTGCAGAGGGAAAAGGTGAAGCTGTGTGCCAGGACGCGGAGTCTTCCTGGGGTGGAAGCAGGTGAGGGTGACCGAATATGCTGTCCTGACCTGACCTTCTAAACCCCTCTTCCCCCACCTCCAAGGAGATAATCACTTGGTTTCCCCACTGTTCACCTCAGCACTTAGTGAGCTAGAACTGAGCACTGTAAATCGTGCTGTCCGTGGGCACTTAAAGAGGTTTCTGGCCACTGAGGAAGTCAAGTAGTGTCTTGGGAAGGCTGGCTGGAGCCCAGAATTCACCTGTCCCAGGGGCTGGCTCTTAGCTACACCCACTTACAAATCGTATTTATATAATTTTCAGAGTGGTTTGCACTCAGGCTACTGAATCACCCTGAGAAAGCGGGTGTAGAAGTCAGAATGCTAGTTTATTAATTTGCAAGGAGACTTTGTGAACACCACACAGACTGAATGTCATCTTGTCCGTTCCTGCATCCTGGGGAAGCCACATGGGAAACTTGCTTTGCAAAGCTGGAGTCACAGCCGGGGAAGGGGGGGGGGCATTGATAGCCAGTGGTCCAGAACTCTGTCCACCTCTGTGGCCCTTTTGCCAATGATCCCCCTGGCTGTGCTTGTCTCCTTGGTTAGTTCCTCCAAGGCAGTGTTTACCTGGTAGGTTTTCTCCCTTTACTCTTGCATAATGTAGCGCTTTTTGTTATATTTGCTTATTTGTTTAGTGCTTTGTAAGCTTTATCTCTCAGCTGCATAGATTTACATTTGCATATGGTAAATAACTACTGTAAAATCCAGGGCTGTAGAACAGGCTGCAGGAATAAATGCTATATGCAAATCAAGAGGGTAATCAGGTGAACTGTGGGGGAGGGGGTGAAGAAGAAGCCAAGCACAGAGCTAAGAAACAGTGTCCCTAATTAGCACTGAGACCCCGGGGAGTAGTAAAATCAAGACCAGCTTATTGTCATTCTTGTGTGAGCCTAGAGATGAAGCAGTCCTTTGCAGTGTCTGCTCAAGCCACCTGTCCTGCCTAGCTGGCCTCTTGGAGTTTAAAGGCCCCCTCAGAACTCATCTTTAGTGAGTCCCTTCTCCAGCTGCCCCAGGAGGTGACCATATGGGCTTTGAGATGGGCAGATTTGGGTTGAGTTCTGGCTCCACTGCTTGGAAATTAGGTGTTGCTAGTAGCTGGGCAGGTGCCTTGACCGTTCCAAGACTCATTTTCACCATTAGTAAAATGGGGATGAACTGTCAGGACCATCAGAGGGTTGAGTTGGGTGGTGCATAGGAAGTGCTAAGCCTTGCCCCGCCCGCCTGCAGGCTGAGCTCTTCAGTGCTTAGTGGTCATCCAGGAGATGCATCTCTGCTGGGCTGGGCGCCCTTGTCAGGGTGCTGCTTCATCCTCTGAGGTCTGAATGAGGGGCAAAGCCAAAAGGTCTAGACAGTCCCAGAAGGGCAGAAGGATATCCTCAGTGTCCCACTCAATTGACTTTTTCAGAGACAAGGACAAAGCTTCTTGCCCTCACTTTTCAGGGGACTCTGGAGGAGGAGTCATATTTGAAGCATGGCCTATCTTAGGCATCGGGGAACGGGAGAGGGACCAGGGTCCTCTGGAGAGGAAGAGGGTCATTTGACAGTAGTCAAAAGGCCTCTAGGGTCCTCTTGAACAGTTTGGGATCTCTGATGTTTTCCTGTAGGGAGTACATCTCCCCTCCATCCACATGGCCCATTCCAGTGACATCAGTGGAATAGAAGCACCTGGCAGGTAGCATCACTGTTGCCCAGGCAACACCTCCACCTTAAGGCAGACAGGAAGAGACAGACCAATGTCAACTGTAAGACGCATGTTGAAGAGAAAGGACGTAGACATTGTGACCTCTCCACAGGTGTGTTTCTCAGAGGCCCGCCAGAGAGTGGGCTATGGGGCTTGGGGTTCTGGGGCTACAGTTTTGAGTTCTGGGCCATGAGCCAGATGGTGGTAGGTCTTTAGGCCTTGGGTTCAGTCTGTGGTAAGGAACATAGTGCTGAGGGCCCTGGTCTCTTTAGTTCCCCCAGCGTGACTCCCTACAGGGGTTTCTGCTACCTAAATCTTTGAGGTGGGGAGGGGAGCTCAGGCCAGAGCAGTCATGGGCCAACCATTAGAAAAGGGAATTTCCAGCTTCCTCACCCTCACCACCCAAAGAAAATGAGATGCAAGGACGCCCTTACTGTGGGGGCTACTCATTGACCCAGCCATCACTGTGCACCTGTGATAATAGGCATGGCACTGTGTTTAGGGACTCTGGCCTCATGGAGCTTCATGACCAAAAGCACAAACAAGAATGTGTGCAACCCACTACCCCAGAAGGTAGTAGTACCAGATGGAACTAGAAAGTCTCATAGAGCGCCTGTCACTCAGCTCTGTTTCCCATGAAATTCTACATGGGTTAAATTAAACCTGTGAAGTCCCTTGTCTCCACTAGCTCATGCAGAGCATTGGAGGTCACATTTGAGATAAACTTGGGTGTTTGGAGAGTGAGGTTAAAGAAGACAACTATGGCTGTCTACAGTGTCCCACCAAAGGGACACCCAGAAGACAGCACTTTTCTCAAAGCTAAGCTCATTTGGCAATTCTGAGGCCTTTAATTTGGGGGGTTCAGCCACATCTTCTAAGGTGAGATCCACTGCTTTCCTTCAGGAAGAATTCCTAAGCAAGCACCACAAGCCAACACAAGGGATGAAGATGCAGGGGAGGGAGGTGGGAAACTGTCTGTCTCTACAAGGTCTCAGAACAGGAATTGCCTTGTCTTTCAACTTGATGGTGTCCCTTCAAGATCTTTGTTGTATGCCACTGGGCATCCCTCCAGCCTGTGAGTAGCTGAAGTAATTGTACAAACATGACTTTTTCAGAATCATAAGTGAAAATTAGTGTATGCTTAGTAGAGATTTTTAGCAGATAAGGCTTCCATTGACAAAAATGGTCCCAAATCAGTGGTCATGACCTTTTA